GCCACCTCAATTTAGGGAGTAATTTAGACCTACCAAAAAAGTAACCGCAGATCTACCAAAAACGTAACTTTTGCTACTGGGGTAGTTATCGTTATCGTCATAGTCCCATGATATCTAATATTGCACGTGACTATTAGAACTCGGTTCAAGTCTGACTCAGAACCGAGTCTAAATTAAGACTCGACTCATGGAGCCGAGTCGAACTGAACCGAACTTTCAACATCCCTAACTATAAGCACATACGTACATACCTGGTACCAAAACATGCAAGTCATAATTGTTATAGAAATAATAATAAATTCATTAATATTAACTCTACAAGCTTTTTTTTGTTTTTAAAGACTTTGATACATACAATTTTCTTATTTGCTCGTTAAAAAAGATACAATAATTACGAAAGTAATCAATTTTGTCAAACATGTGCTGAAAATCGGGAGAATCTAATGCAGATCTCTCCTTCCACAAAATTCTTAAGTAGTATAAATGTCAGACCTGTTTGTGATTAATATGTTGACCTTTCTTTCCTTACCTTTTGAGTGGTTCCGCTTAATTTGATACTTTAATTCTGCATAAAAAAATCACTAGTTATGCTATTTGATGTTTAGTATATTAAAACTTCTTGTTTGCAAGAAATATTCTTTCGCAATGATATGGCCAACTTAAGTAGCTTGTTTAGCTCTGAAGCTCTTCGTGGTCAGTATGTGTTTTAATCTTGAATATTAAATAAATATATAGTTGATTAGGTATACGTACGTACGTACTGTATTAAAGATATAGCGATAGATTAATATTTTTAATTTGTAAAGTTTACTATCGGAGTACTATAAATCTTATTAATGGCACAGGTACTCCGATATGCGAATAATTAGTAGATCCAATCAGAAAGTGGTGGGGAAATTAGTAAACTCCGCATATTGATATTATTTGACCATAATTGCATATAATTACATATTATTACTTATATAATGATACACTGTACATAAATGTAATTACTACCGCTACGTATCGGTATAACAGGAAACGTTGATGTTGCACAACTGATTTTATACACGGAGTGAAACAATACTTGATCGGACTTGATCAGTCAACTAGTACGTGTTATGATTATAATCCAGCTGACCGATCAAGTATTGTTTCACACCGTGTGTAAAATCAGTTGTGTAACATCAACGTTTCTTACTGTTTACAATTTTGGTAAGTCTAATTTAAAAAATACATATTTAAATCTTTTTTTTTTTTTGTTCGTAAAGAATCTTATATACAACCAAAAATCGGGTTTAATAATGTCAGAGCTTAACCCACCAAAAATCATTGCTACTGATGGAATCGCTCAAATCGAAGTTTTTTCCGCAAATGAACCAAATTCAAATGAACCTCCATATTATAAGGTAGATATTATATATATATTATTATTTGATTTTATTTCACTTCAAATTCTATAAATTTTTTTTAAATATTTGAGATTTTACGAAAAAGGGCTTTGTTAATGGAAACGAAACTTTAAAACCGGTCGATTTAATCGTTAAAGGAAGCTTACCTTCATGGTTAAAAGGTGAATTATTCACTGTTGGTCCAGCTACTTATGATATAAAATTATGAGGTGTGGCGACTTAGTGAAGTGGTCTAGTTGTCACCCTCACCAAACGTTATGGAAAGATCCCAT